AGGTGCAAGGAGTCTACCAATGTCAATGAAGCCTGTTTTAAAAGGATCATTTTGTGACCTACATGGCACAAAATCGACCTCTAACCTCTAGCATTTAACATCTTCTGTGTACTCCAGAGTGTAGATTGGGGCATTTCACATCTGGGTGTCTGAATACCTCCCCTTGTGAGGCATAAATATGAAAACAAGAAAATGTTCAGCAAATAGGTCCAGTTTATCTATGGGACAAAAGGAGAAGCTATTCTGTTTAACAGATCATCTGATAGCTGATGAAGTCATATGTTTATTTATAAACACAAAACACAATTTCAAGTATGTCCTACTGTCTAGATTTTGCCAATTTCACACAGTACTTCTGTTAAGGTGGCAAGCAGTCAAACAGTGTGTAAACATAGTGAGTTATCTAACTTATGTGTCTGAAAAAGGGAGGTATCTTATAGCAGAAGTACTTAACAAAACTTTTACAGTTTTACATTCTTGTTTTTGGCATTTTATGCAATGTGATGATAGTTGCTCAGGCTTCTTTCACCTCTATTTTTAGGAGTAAAATCTTTACCACATTAGAACATCTAGTTTAAAGCCACAAATAAGGATAGGAAAGAGGCCTGCTGGGATCCATATAGGTGGGAGCGGTTTCAATTTCAATACAAAGTTAACAACTTCTCACTTGTTTACAGGGTCTTACAATATAAAGGTGGGAAGGACCTATCAATATTGAAAAAGTAACATTTATTATACAAAATGTAAAATTTATAAAGGAATTTTTTTTTTTTCAAAGTTAGGAACTTGAGCAGCACATTGCAAGTCTTAATGACTCCTGTGTTGAAAGGGATCTTTTTTTCCCCCACACTGCACCAGATGAGGTTCCAATATGCCAGAACCCTATATAGTGTATGACGTACCAGTCATTTATGTGATCATTGAGGCTATATCAATCCTGTTATTGTCCATCTAGATCCCCAGAGGAATGCAAATTAAATGCCTGGTTAAAGAATGTGTTATACAGAACACGTCACTTGCATGCATC